CTCATTTTTATTTGATTCCTTATTTTATATAATTTTATCTTTTACCATATGCAATAATTTAGATTTGTTTTTATCTTTTATGCGTACCTCATATCTTGTTATTTTACTTTTTAATATCCCAGTGCCTTACTATTATTATTATTATTATTATCATTTTATCTGTCTTTTTACATTTACATATTTTTACATTATTTTTGATGATTTTTTAGCCTTGAGATCTTGATTAAATTTTTTAGTCATACTTTTTATCTATTTTTTATCTATTGTTTCCTTTTTATTATATCATTTGTTTTTACTTTATGTTTTATCACATTTTTCACATCTGGCCTTTTTATCTTTTTATCATATTAATTGTTACTTTTGCATTTTTTACATATATATGCAGCATCGGTGTTACATTTTTATTATGTATTACACCTGGGACTTGTAGTACTACATAAGGGCATTAATTTTGGTCCCTTCTATCAATGGGTCCCGTTATTTTATAATGTCTTCATAGATTGGACCTTGGAACAATGGAGGTTCCACTACTTTCGGTCCCGTTTGTTGGGACGTATTTTTTCCCATGGGTAATTGCCTCATAGCCTCTGTATATAATCATTTTATGTCCCAGATCAGTGATATGTATGTCCCAGATCAATGATATTTATGTTTGGCATGATAAATATTAGCTGATTCTAGTATTTTCATTTGCCCTTCGTTCCCTATGCTGCATTGTTGATATCGCCACTAAGATGGCCATCTCCGCATGCACTGCGCATGAGCAAGTTGGCTAATATGGTGTCTTACCACTAAATCGCGCACGCACGTGGCACCCTATATGAACTTACACTAGACTGCAGGCACGAGCACGAAACGCGTTAGTGAGGAGCCCAGCTAGTGACGTCACGCCGTACAGGCCAGGAGGAAGGCCGGCGGCCATCATTGTTACTGTTTACACATGCCAGATGTGAGTGCAAATATATTTGTTTCTATACTGTGCCATACTCTTATAATAAAATACTGCAGATTTCTTCTTTGGCTCGTTTGTTACGAGCCCTTTAAAGTGGATTCCTGTTATTTCCATTTTACACTTATGACTGGTCCTTAACATCTGATGGGATTTTTCCTGGAGCTGGAGAGTAATAGTCTACTGATCACCTGATTTGCTGACGTGTGCTAGATGATCCTCTGAGTTACCTTTTCAGATCCAGATGACCAGGAGTAGTTTGATATACTCAAATGCGTGATTTATTGTGCTTTCTGATTAGTGCAATATACATTAGTTTCCTAGCTACTGGAGTCACAGAATTCACTTTATACTGATTTTGGACTTTATTATCACCATCTAATATAGCGCTCCACAGCGCACATTTATACGTTTGCTACAGTATACATATATGACGATATATTTATTTGTTTATCACTTGTTTAGCGCTGCATTTGCTATTATTGATTTATTGGAAGGATTTGAGGTTTTACCTTTATACTAGCGACTTAATTTTTTACCTAGCGCTCGTTTAGCCTTTGTTATTCTATGTGCTACATAACTAAATTACAATGTCATGTACCTTCCTCTGTGTTCAAAGTGCATAGACCCAACAGTACGTTTAAGGCTACCTATTGCACGTGTCAGCAACAACTTCAGTTGCTATTTAGATAATGCCCCCTCCCTGCTTTTTGGGGTGTTTTATTATTTATTTCATGTTTTTATATTTGTTTTTTGCATTCAATTAGATTAAAACACCATAAAAGTTGATGGTTTGTGATTTAGGATGGAGATTTAGAATTGTAGGATTGCAGTTTAGTGTTTTAAGTGTATATATTATTGTAATATACTATTTTTTTTTTGTGTCAGCAGTGTGAACTCTTGACTTATTGTGCCGCATTACAGTGAATTGCAGTGTGAGAGTCTACATAGTGTGTACTCCCCATGCTCCCTGTGCTGTACTGTGCTACATAACTAAATTACAGTGTCATGTACATTCCTCTGTGTTCAAAGTGCATAGACCCAACAGAACTTGCAGGACTACCTATTGCATGTGTCAGCAACAACTTTAGTTGCTGTTTAGCTAATACCTCTCTTGCTTTTTTGGGGTGTTTTATTGTTTATTGTTTATTTCACATTTTCATATTTCTTTTTTACATTCAATTAGGTTAATGGTTTTTCTTTTAGGATGGGATTTAGAATTGTAGTTTAGTATTTTAAGTGTATATATTGTTGTAATATAATAGGAGAGACAAGGTTCTGCATATTTAGCAAGTAAGGGGCGAGCATGTTCTCCATATGCAAATATAAAAATGCACCTAAATCATATAATTCACTTTTAGTGAGAACCCCATGGGCTATTGAATTTCCTTGTCTCTCTCTCTGAAAGGCCTACAAAATCTGCTTACATAGTGTACATCAACTCTGTACAAGTTTGAGGCTTTTTTTTCTGTGAAATAATGCACCCCACTTTTAATTTCTCAATTAAAACCTGCCTGGTATCTACCTTTCAGACTGTGACCTACAAGTGCTAAATCACTGTATGGGGAGTCAGTGTTATATGTAGGGACTTTTCTTTATGATAATACACATTAACTTTGTTTTCTTAATTAAAAGCTGCCTGGTGTCTCTGTCTGAAATGCAGCCTCTTCAAGAAAAGTTTACCCACTTCCCTTCTCACACCTGTTCACCCTCTATGAACCAGAGCAATTTATAATTCTGCTATAGACCTGTTTATTCGTCAATAACCTACTTAAGCTAACAAGGCAATGCATATATATTTTTTAAGACAAATAGGGCTTTTTACTGGTGATATTGTCTTCCACAATTGCTTCTTTTCCACAATCCTTAGACTATAAAATGTAAGAAAACTAAACAAAATGCACTTTGTCTAATACACTTAGTTTAAAAAAAAATGATTCCTGTAGACAAAAATGTACATTTTATTCTATAATTTGTCCTTTTTCTAAAATGACACTGAAATTATGTTCTTGTACAACAAATTGCAAAGTTATTTAGAAAAGAAATAATGTTTTTTTTTATTTTAGGTTTTTTTGTGACACAAAAAATGTTAACAAACAAAACAAATAAAAATAAAAAAGCGTAAAGCTTTATGATTAATAGATCAATAAATAGAAATGAACAAAAAAAATCAGCAGGAAAAAAATTGTTAAATGGAGAAGCAAGCTAAGGAGTTTATATAATTGAGTAAACTATAAGTTAGTAAGGGGTTAAACAGAGGAAAAGTTTATTGAAAAAACCTTTTTTCATTTTTCTGGTTGCTTTAACTGACATCATCTGCAGATGATATCAGTTAAAGCAACCTGAAAAGTGAAAAAAAAGTTTGCAGGTCTGCAGGTGAATAAAACAGGATAGATACAAAAGTAACAACATCACATTGTATCTTTCTATTTCCTGTCTGAACACTGTTGTTGATATAAACAGTCTTTTTTGACAGAACCAGCTGCCAGAGCTGCTCTGTGTACGCAGCAACACTGGCTTTGATTAATTAGAGCCAAGAATTGAAGTTGAAGGTGTGGGGGTGGGGTGGGGGCCCCAACAGCAGGGCAGACCTGGGCATGTTACACATGACCTGTGTACTATGATGATTTTTCTCTTTTGGGGGGCGGGGGGGGGGGCATCACTAGCACTTTCAGTGTTTTGAACTAGTTAAATACTGTACATGGAATCAGTACAATTTTTGTCTTTCCTGTAAAATAATATACTCTAGCTTTGAATTCTTGATTGTAAAATTGGCTAGTCGCTCTCTGTTAAACTGTGGCCTAATAAAAGTTAACAAATAATATAAAAGCTTAATATTGTTAATGGAGTCAATGCAACATTTATGTAATTTTTTTCTATGAAATAAGCAAACACTCGAATGTTGATTCCTTGATTAAAATCTGCTTGGAGTCTTCCTCTGAAAATGTGGCTTAGTACATATGCTAAAATACTGCATATAGTCAGTACAATATTTTTTTCTCTGTGCTATAATTCACTTTTATCTCTTTGTGTTGCACCTAGGCATGCTATGTACAGCTCATGTGTCCTCCATGGTGAACAATGTTTCCTGAAATAAATGCCCTGATGTGATGATCCACTTTGAAGAACTCCACTGCATCAAGAAAAATGGCACTGCATCAACCTCTAAAGACTGCAACCCACCTTCTCCCGCTCTGTAGTACATGGATCCAGAGAAAATAAAGGTACTGGAAGCTACCTCAGTGTGCCAGACCACTTTGAATTTGAAGAAGTCAAGGCCGTTAATTCCCTAATCTGATGGGATTTCCATAAATTACATGATAAAGACAAACATTGCATAGGGCAGATAGAAGATAAGATTCCTTTGATGTAGAATTCTGTTGAATAACTCCAGAAGTTGAAGCAACATCAGGATTATTTAAAAAATTGGATGCATTTCTTGATGGGTTACCCCAAAAGGTGGAGGTGCACACCATATTTCCCAGAGGTCATGGCTGCTGCAACTGGGAGCCTTCTCCACAAACTTTCTTTGCTAATTTGCTGCACCACAGAGATTAAGACACCGTGCTCCAATTTACTTAGGAACAGGGCAATTTTCCATTTGGAAATGTGACTGTTGCGACCTTTCCCAATTTGTTTGACCAAGGTCCAGCATGAACACTCTATGTTCACATGAGTTAAAAGTTGCTTGCAGGTGCTCAATTTTAAATATGCCATGTTATATCTAGCTCATCTCTGTGTGATGGACTCCAGTCACAAAACCTTTTCACCTCAATTGAGGAAGCATCACAATGGCTTGGTGGCTGCAATAACTGTCAGGTATCCTGAGTTTTCTGTGTGCATACCTTCCCTGGAGGTCTTTCAGAACTGTTGTGTGACCTATCTATATTATTACCGTTATAAACTTTTACTGGCTACATATTGAGGCTTAAACATTGTAAGTACCAGTGTGGACCCCCAAGGCACATTAGGCTGGGTTATCTGCATAAATCACAGCTTCCTTAGTAAACTAACTGACTAGAATTTTTTTTGGGTATCAATATAACTTAATTTAACCCCTTCATGCTAGCGCTTCCCGGCCCTTTAAGGGTTTCAGAAGCCGGGAGGCGGGGTTTAGGGTCATGTGACCACTGTGACACACCGTCATGTGACGCCGTCACGGCGGTCACATGATCGGAAAAGGTCCTGATCGAAAGAGGAGATTAGGACCTTTCTGTGAGTAATGGACATGCGTGCTGGGAGCGTGCAGGACGCGCTCTCAGCACATATGTTCTTTTTTAATAGAACGCAAATGTGCGGCCGCTCGGCGTCTAGGCCCAGATGCCCGGAGGCCGCACATTTGCTTTCGGCCGGTGTAAAGAGATTAAGGAATTATGTGGGCATTTTGGTCTCCCTAATTGTATGGTATACTGCTACTTTCAATTACAACATGTGGCTAATACCCAGTTTGCGTCATGATTAGGTGAACTTTCTGATTACCCAGTGAAACTTATTGATTGAAATTTCCTGATTCCCAAAGAGGCAAATGGATATTCCCTGGGATCATCTTTACCTATAAATACTAGTATCGAGTTATACATTGAGTATTTAGGAAAGAATCCAGACCTTTTCTAAAACTGGCCAGAACCAGCTCTTGAGGGAGTCTATTCCACATTTTTACAGCTCTGTGAAGAAGCCTCTTCATATTTGAAGGTAACATCTCTTTTCCTCCATGCATGAAGAGTGTCATCTGTGACGACCTTAAAGTGAACAACTCTACACCAAGTTCACTATATGGACCACTTATGTGTCTTATATGTTTGTACATGTTAACCATATCCCCCCTTAATCTCCTCTTCTCAAGAGAAAATAAATCCAGTTCAGCTAATCTTTCCTTAAAGCTGAGCTTCTCCATTATTATTATCTGTTTATTTGAACTGGGTAGATAGGATTTAATTTTTCTCTGAACTGGTGTCCGAAACTGAATTGCATTTTGTAGATGAGGTCTTACTAATGGGAGCAAAATTATGTCTCTCACTCAGCAGTCTATACCGCTCTTAATACAAGAAAGGATTTTGCTTGCTTTGAAAACTGCTACTTGGCATTGCATGCTATGATTAAGCCTACAATCTACCAGAAAACCCAGATCCTTCACCATCATTGATTCCCCTAGTGTGTATTATTCCTTCTAGTGTGTATGATTTGTGCTTATTTGTAGCCCCCAAGAGCATAACTTAACATTTATTACCATTAACCTAATTTGCCACAGTTACCTAATTAAACAGTGCATTGAGGTTGACTTGTAAGTTGGAGACATCCTGTATGAACATCATTCCACTGCATAGGTTGGTGTCATCTGCAAAGACTAAAATTTTACTTTTAATCCCAGACTCTATATTATTTATAAATATATTTTAAAAAGTAAGGTTCCCAACATTGAAGTTTGGAGTGCACCACTAATAACCTTAGACCATTCAGATTATCAATCAATAACCAATACTCTCTGAATATGGTCTTTTAGACAGTTTTCTATCCATTTACAAACTGATTTTTCCAAGCCTGTAGACTTTACCTTATACATTAGAGATACTTAGGGAACTGTGTCAAATGCTTTTGCAAAATCCAAATTTACTATATTTACTATATTCACACCAACTCTTTTTTGTCTAAGTTTTTGTTTACCTCCTCATATACTGTATGTTTTTGCTTACCTCCTCATAAAAAATTCAGAATTGTTTGACAACTTCTTTCTTTCATGAATCCAAGCTTTGTTTTGCTTAAAATAATGTTTGTAGATATAACTCATCTATGTGGTCTTTCATTAAACTCTCAAGTGTCTTCTCAACTATAGAAGTTAAACTAAAGACTTTGATCCCTTTTTAAATAAAGGCTCCACATTGGCCTTGGCCTTGCACCAATCCAGTGGTACAGATACTTAGAAACAATGGCTCTGAAATAACATAGCTTAGTTCATTAGTACATGTAGCTGTATAATCCAGGTGCTTTATTCACCTTTATTCTGTCTAAATTTTATGAACCATATCAGTTTTGAGCCCTATTGGTTTATTTGGGGCTATGTCAATATCATTTCCATTACGGACTTGAGCTGTATTCAAGCTCCCCCATTAATATTCAGGTAACTCCTTAAATAAACTAATTTCTCAATTGTTTTCTTTGCTTATGCCCCAAAAATGCCTCTTGCCTAAGATATCACATTTGAAAAGAGATCTGGGCCCTATGGATGATGAGGAATTGGAAGATGTTTAGGAGGTCCATAAAGTCTTCTCTGTCAAAATGTCAGAAAAAGCTTTTTCAAATGTGTATTGTGCATTCAACCTACTTGACATTGTTATTGCTTTCTAAATACACACCCTCTCATATCCCTTTATGCTTAAAATGTCACAATTCAGTAGGTACTCTTTGGCATATGCTATGTGATAGCCCAATAATACACAACTACTGTAAAAGAGTGGTTCAGTTCTTGCATGAAAAGAAATCACAGTAACTAAGAACTGGGTAGATAGGATTTAATTTTTCTTCATTTTCTTCACACCCTTTTCACCTCGACAATTGATAGCCATGCAATAGATGTCTGCTTTGCACCTGTCCAAAATACAATGGGCTTTGATATTAACACTCCTATCCCTTGTGCTATAAAATGTATTTATATTCATAGGGGTTGTCCTCATAAGTTCCACAACATCTGGAACAGACTGATGTCACAGAGCATTACCTGTGATGTATCCACCTAGATTGTTTTAGGTACATACATTGCTTTTTTTCCTCTAATTTTTCCAGGTTTTTTCCAGGCCTTCCCATCTCTAGTTGGAATCTCCACTGAACCATCCCTAAACCCACAGCCCCAAGCATCCACTGCACGATTTCTGCATCCACAGCCTATGCAGCATCCAATCAGAACATCTGTTGCACCACCTCTGCACCCACATCCTCAAGCCTCTGCCTCAACTTCTCTGCACTTGCAGTCTACATGGTATCTACATTCAGAATTCCTGCCATCGATTTGTGACAGCTTACCTAGTGTCCCTCCCAGTGTCAAGTCTGTACAATGTTTCTTATTTTTTTCTTTGAATTAAAAACTGCCTGTTGTCTCCCTGTGAAATTTCCTCCTAATAAAAATGCTTACATACTGTACATTGGGTCAGCACAATATCTCTGTTTTTTCTTTATGAGATACTATACTCTAATTTTGATTTCTTAATTAAAACATGCCTGGTCCCTCCCTGTGAAACTGTGGCCCAAACATGCTTCCATACTGTGTGTGGAATTAGTAAAGTAGAGTAATTCTCCCTTGAAAAAACACTCTAATTGATTAATTGATTAAAACCTGCCTATTCTCCTCCCTCAAACTGTGGTCTGTTAAAGCTGCTTAGATATTGAATCTGTGAACTATTTCATTTTGTTCTGTAAAATAATAATAATATAATCTAATAAGAAGAAGAAGAATTCCCTCTGCCCTTTCTAACATGACATATGCAGTAGGTCAAGCTAGTACCTCAAACACATTCTGAACTACCTCCAGCCAATTTTCCAGCTGCTACACCCAGTAGTTCATTGATATGGTCTCTTGTGAGCATTTTAGTTACAGCCTTGATGCCTCTACCTAACATGGTCACTTGACCAGGGCAGGGACAGCTTTATAAGAAAAAAAACAAAATGTATTTAATAAAAAATTCAAACCTCTAAATATTGTTCAAATAAATAACACATGAATACTGTTGGTGGGTGAGAAAATGGGTGGGCTTGGATCATTTCCCCCCTTGTTTATGCTGCCTTCCCCATACCCTGTGGAAGGGTGGGCAAGTTTTTCTATTTTTAATAAACTCAAACTCCTCAATACCAGGAGGAGAATTAACACTCCTCCAAAAACATAGCTGCTATGAACCAATTGAAAAGAAAAACGAGGAAAGAAGGAAAGGATGCATTAGTAGGCTTTAAAATAAAATGTCTGTTCTGTGCCCCTGAGGAGGAAGGAGAGGAAAATGTTGTATTAGCAGCATTGCTATGGCTGCTATGAAGAATAAGGATGACTTGTGTTTCTTCATGCATATGATACCAAAATGACTGGTACGTTCACTACGGCTGATACACAGCGGGCAGAAGTTGCAGACTAAAACCAAGCTGTTTGTATCAGACAGGTTAATAAAGATCCACATTTCAGAGCTCTTTCTATTTGATACCTATTCATGTGTTCATGTACATACTGGTGCTAGCTACTTTCTACCAAACACTTTGTCCCATGTCACCCACAAAGTTGCATCCAAAGCTAACCCTTTGGACTAAAGTTTGCAATTTTCAGATTTTACAGTGAGTTCATTGGACAGTTCATGAATGGAACCTAGGCCTATTCACTCATCATCCCTACTATTCATGTTTCACATAATACTGTACACTGTATATAGTCCAAGAAAGACCAATGCTTTGCTGCATTTCTGGTGACAATCAAAACATAATGATTACACCTCATACTGCAGTTTAAATTTACTGAAAGTGGGTTTTTTTTTACAGTATGCTCCACCCACAAAAAACTGCACTTGCTGTCAATATTGACTGAAACCCGATTCCTGATTCATCTATTCCATTTTCCAACATCTGCTTTACCTATTAGGAATCACAATATGAAAATATACCTGTAAATGCAGTCAGATAGTCACTGTGGTAAGTTTTAAATTTCTACCTATGACTACTTCAGCTGCCAATTGTCTACTTGCATTAGTTTGCTTGGACACACTGCCCTCTGCAGGTTGTACTGTGTGGATAATCACACAAAACTGTGTGCATTGCCATATGGAAATGTTTTCTATACTGACAGATTTCTACATTTCCTACCCTTTCTTTTAGAAACACTAAGGTTTAAATAATCTGTTGTAGAATTATGTATTATATATTCACAACTGACTTTATCATATCATGCACTGATTTTCAACAATAATAAAAGCAATATCTGGTATTTTGGATAATACTTTAAATTACAATGAAAACTATTTCAAAATAATTGTATCCCAACATACACACAGCAGGAAGTTTACATTCTGAAACCTAGGATATATTGCTATCTGCTTTATTTTGAGTTGTGTCTACAGACAAATTATATGTAGTGAGAGGATGAGTGGGTATATAGCATTCTATGTGATGCCATCCCAAGTGGAATATACCTGGGGAAAAAGAGACAGCACTATGTTGTGTAGTACAGTATGCATATTTTATAATAAAGAAGACATTTCAACAAAGATGTCATTTGACAATTGCATGAGCTATAGGGTTCCTGCTCTAGGAAGAAAGAAGGACAGCTCCTGCCATTGCCTCAATTGTAAACCATGGCAGCAGTCTTGAAAGTCCTTTGGAGCAACTTTTGAAGCTTAGAAAAAAAC